GACACATTCTCGGCATTGTTGTAGGCAAATTCCGCCAGCGCCAACTTTTCTACCCAGTCATTCTCTCTGTCATTGACATAACACCTCAGGTATTGCTGGAGGACACCGTTTGCTCTTTCCGCCTGCCCGTTGGTTTCCAGGGTGCCGGGCAGTCGAAAAGTTGACCTCCACCTGCAGTAAGCTCATGAGCTTCCTCCAGAACCTGGAAGTAAATTGTTTTCCTCGGTCTGAGACCACCCTCAATGGCACCCCGTGCAACCTAAAAATGTGTTCTACAAATAACTTCGCTGTCTCTTCCGCCGTGACTGCATGCGAGCAAGCTACAAAGTGGCACATCTTTGTTAGTAGGTCTACCACCACCATGATGGCTGTTTTCCCTTTGGACTTCGGCAGATCAGTCATAAAATCTATCGACACTGCCTCCCAAGGTCGTTCTGGTGTTGGTAAGGGTTCTAAGAGCCCCGCCGGCGCCCGCCTTTCCCCTTTGGCTCGCTGGCACTGCTCGCACCCTCTTACATACTCACGTACATCCTCCCTCACCTTAGGCCACCAAAATTCCCTGGTGACCAACCACATGGTTTTGTGTTGCCCAAAATGCCCCGCCGTGGGGCTGTCATGCAACTGCTTGAGTACCCTCCCCTTAAGTCTCCTTCAGGGATATACAGTGCCCCTTTGTAATACAAAGCTCCATTTCTTTCCTCGAAACCCCTTGATTCCTCTCCCTCATCCCTAAGACCTCTGAGCTTATTCTGGGCGTATTCATCATTCTCTGTTTCTTCTACCAGTTCTCTTTGTCCCACCAATGCCGCCCCACACACCCAGCGGTCCTCTGGAATGACATGTCTCTCTTCGGGTGCTCCCTCCCCTCCAAATATTCAGGTTTGCGTGAGAGAGCGTCCGCCCTAATGTTCTCTGGGCCTGGCACGTAACAAATCTCAAAGTTAAATTTGGAGAATTCCTGGGCCCACCTCACTTGCCGTTGGTTGAGCACTCGTGCCGTCCTCCAATACTCTAGGTTCTTGTGGTCAGTGCACACTTGCACCTTATGTTGTGCGCCAATTAGCAGGTGCCTCCATCTCCGGAACGCCTCATGAATGGCTAGTAGTTCTCGGTCATACACCGTGTAGTTCCTCTCGGATTTGTTCAGCTTTCGCGAAAAAGCACACGGTCTCCACTCTGACTCCTCCTTCCCTGGCTGGAGAAGCACCGCCCCAACCGCTCTGTCTGATGCGTCAGTTTCCACTCTCATCGGTTTTTGTAAATCCACATGCAGGAGCTGTTGTTCTGAGGCGAAGGCCCTTTTTAGTTCCTCAAATGCTTGCTCCGCCTCCTCCGTCCAAACGAACTTCTTCTTACTGCTGAGACAGTCCGTAATGGGCGCTGTCAGGTGGGCAAAGTTTGGGATGAACTTACGATAGAAGTTCCCAAATCCTAAAAACCTCTGCACATCCTTCCTTGTTTTGGGTGTTTTCCATTCCAGTACCGCCTGGACCTTGCCGGGATCCATGGCCAACCCCTTGTCAGACAGGCGATACCCCAGGAATTCCACCTCCTTGGTATGAAACTGACACTTCTCCAGTTTCACCCACAGCTGGTTGGCTTGCAGCCTGCTCAACACTTCTCTGACGTCTCTCACATGCTGCTCCTCATTCTCAGAATACACCAACACGTCGTCTAAGAAGGCCACACAATTCTTGTAAAGCAACGGCCCCAGGACGTGGTTCATAAACGATTGAAATGTTGCGGAGCCTGCTTGTAGACCGAAGGGCATAACTAAGTATTCAAATGCCCCTAAAGGGGTGAACATGGTGGTTTTCCATTCATCCCCCTTCCTTATTCGTATCAGGTTGTACGCCCCCCTTAGATCCAGCTTGGTGAAAATCTTTCCCTTCCGCACCCTTGTCAAAATGTCGTCAATCCTGGGCATCGGGAAGGCCACTGGTTCTGACACTGCATTTAAGGCCCTGAAGTCACACACCAGTCTCGGCTTGTTCGTGTTTTTTTGTCCACAAAAACACTGGGCTGCCCCCACCGCCCTGGACTCTCTGATGAACCCTCTCTTCAGGTTCTTGTCAATGAACTCTCTTAGCTCCTGCATCTCTCTGTCTGACATGGCGTACAGCTTGCCCACAGGGAGCTGTGCCCCAGGGAGCAAATTGATTTGACAGTCAAAGGCTCTATGCGGTGGTAGTTGGTCAGCTTCCCTTTCGCTGAAGACGTCGCGGAGATCTGCGTATTGTCGTGGTACCTTCACGTTCTCCGTTACTTCAGTCCCTGCTAGGGTGGCTTGGGCCCCGACCAAAACCTTTCCCTCTTTGCAGTGTTCTAAGCAATGTGCTGACCCAAAAGAAACCACTCTTTGATGCCAGCCCACCAGCGGATCATGTAACGCTAGCCAGCTCATCCCCAATATAATGGGAGCTCCTCCCAAGGTGGCCACATTAAAAGCTATTAGTTCGGTGTGCCTTGCCACCTTCATTATCATTGGGACGGTCTGCAAGCTGACTTCTCCTCCCAACAGCTCCCTGCCATCGATCGTGGTTACCTGCAGGGGGTTGCTTAAAGGTAGCGTCTGTATCTGGTGTTCAGCTGCAAACTCTTTGCTCATGAAATTGCAGGAGCTGCCTGAGTCCAACAGCGCCTTTATCTTTAGAGGGTGTCCGTTTGGCAGCTCTAGTGTCACTTCTATCACTAGGGCGGGTTTAGGAGGTTCTGGCGTGGGCACTTTCACTGCTCTTTGGCCTGGCTGCTGTGCCCCGACAATGGCAGCCAGGCGTTGGCTTTTAGTTGCTCCGGTATTTTTTCCTCTCTTCCCTCCACAGCTCCCACCATCCCTTGCCATTCCTTCCTCTGGGGGCAGACTCTGGCAAAGTGCCCTGGCTGTTGGCAGAGATAGCATTTCCGGGCGCCTTTTCCCTCCTTTTTCCCCTCACTGGGCTTTGAAACTGCGCGCGCGCGCGCTGTTCCGATTTCCATCGGCTCTGCCGGCGGGAAAGTTGGCTCTGGAATGTCTGGAATGCGGAACTCCTTCCAACGTTCCCCTTCCCTTCCCGCCTCTCCAATGCTCTCGCCTCCTGGCGCGCTCCTATGGCCAGCGCTGATTTGGTCAGCTGGTCCATAGACTCCGCCCTGGGCGCCCGGGAAAGTTCATCTTTCACAGCCGAAGAAAGCCCTTCTTCAAAGAGCATTTGAATGGGTTCCGCCGATAAGTCCCACCCCAATCTGTGTATCAGCATGGTGAACTCAGTCCAGTACTCACGTACAGATCGGCTCCCCTGTTTGCAAGCCATTAACTGTCTGCGCACCACTCCCTTTTCAATATCGCTGGAAAACATCAGATCCATGGCGCGAAAGAACTTCATCGTGTCCTTTAGGACGTCACTATGCGCTGCCATCAGGGGTCTAACCCAGTCTCTCGCCCCTTTCAAGATGCCCAATCACAAAAGCCACTCGTGATTCCTCATCAGGAAATCATCAAACTGCAGATTGAGGGCATATTGCATTTCTGTCCGAAAGCTATGATAGTCTTTGGGCTCCCCCCCAAATTTCTGCACCAATCCTGGTACCTTTCTGGCGAGCTGGGTGGCTTTCTCCCTGTTGTCTGCATCTTGAGCCCTCCTCTCCTCCAGCCTCGCCGTCTGCAGCGCCAGCTGGACCTCCAACACCCGGTACCTTTCTTCCAGGCTTGGACCCGCTCCAGCCCCTGCTTCTCCGGTTCCTGCTGGGTTGCTCATTATGCCTTCTCCTGCACAAGCTGCGTTCAGAGACTGTCGGAATGCTGTGATGGGAAGATGAGCTGCTTGTGCGTAAAATCGTATTCCCTCAGTGTTTGTTCAAGTCCACAAACCTCTGTCTGTGACGGAGCCCCTCTGACATGGCTCCTCTAGTCACTAGAAGATTCCGACAGTGGTTGCTTTCGTAATCGCTTCCAACATAAAAGCTCCTTAACGGAAACACGTCTTCTGGACTCTCTGCGTGACAGTTTCCGGCGAGGAGTGGGTGTCCCTACAGGAGGTCCGGAAACCTCACCACTGTTTTCGCTGGAAGTATCTCTGAGCCATCCCCCAGCTCCCTTTCCCTCAGTTCAGCTTCTCCCCCTGCTGGTTTCCTCTTCAGCTGCTGAGTCTCTTCCAACCTGTCTGAGCCCTTTCACCTCCCTCAGTTCAGCTTCCCTCCCCTTGCTGGTTCCCTCTTCAGCTGCTGAGTCTCTTCCAACCTGTCTGAGTCCTTTCACCTCCCTTCCTTCCGATGGCAGTTCCCTGACAGCTTGCTGATCAGAAGGTCAGCGGTTTGAATCCCTGTGACGGCATGAGCTCCCGTTGCTCTGTCCCAGCTCCTGCCAACCTAGCAGTTCAAAAGCACACCAGTGCAAGTAGATAAATAGGTACCACTGTGGCGGGAAGGTAAATGGTGCGCTTTGGCTTCCATCACGGTGTTCCGTTGTACCAGAAGTGGTCTAGTCCTGCTGGCCACATGACCTGGAAAGCTGTCTGTGGACAAACGCCAGCTCCCTCGGCCTGAAAGCGAGATGAACGCAGCAACCCCATAGTCGCCTTTGACTGACTTAACCATCCAGGGGTCCTTTACCTTTACCTTTTAATAGCAGAGCATTTGACAGAAGTACACCAGCGTGACTGTCAATGACCTTGCAAAAAGGGACAATATTAGGTTCAGATAGGAGGGAATATTCTGGTCTGCAAATCTGTTATTCTTAGTTTTACAAGGTGGGAAATGAGAGCAAGGGTATCAGCCGCCGATATCCCATGCTGCCTCTTCCACACTCCAGGCTCCATTGTCTCTCCCCCGTTTCCCTTTTTTTTTTCTTTCAACATTGCATTATTAGTGGCTTTCTGCTGCCCCATACACCTTCTCCCTGCCTCAGTGTAGGAAAGGGCTCGGGGGTCCTTCCTCAAAGCGAGGCATCCTGGGTGAGTGGCCAATGCAGTGCTTGTACCACCTTCACAGTTTGCTGTAGTCGCTATTCAAAAAACAACAGCTCATTCATGGTAGCTCTGTTGGCAGAGCATGAGATTCTTAATCTTAAGGTCATAGGTTCGAGCCCAACTCTACGATTCTATGATTCTAACTCTTTAAACTTAGCGGTGAAAATTCTTTGGTACTTGGGTGTGTTGGGTTATGTTTTTTCATTGCAAAATGAAAACAACAACAACAACATTTGCACCCTGCGCACCTGACTGGGTTGTCCCAGACACCCATATAAAATCCTCTCATTGCAGATGCAACCATTTTAACCCACAAAATAACTACCATTTTTTAAAAATAATAATAATGGTGTGATAGTGATGAGCCCAACTAGCGGCTGGAACCATTATTTCTTCTTCCTGAGTGAAACAGTTTGAGCCACTTTCTAGGAACAATGTATGTTAGGGATCCACAACCGGTGCTCGTTAGACTAAAATCCCCCCCACAAAATATTGTGAACCTAGAGATGAAATAAGTGCGGCAGAAATTAGACTACCAACAGGACATATTGTGTGTGGCGGGGTCGAGTTTGGAAAACACTCCGTTCTTTCCAAATGGACCTTCCTCCAAACAAGCTGATGGATCAATGAAACAGAATTTTTTAACAAGCCTAACTGGAAATAGTAAGATTGAATAATCTCAAAGCACCTTCTGAGACCTCTTCCCATGAAACCTGGTTTGAGGATAGTCACTGCATCTGCAGGGCTATGCTCAGGCTTGACCTAGATTTAGGCCCCAAAACAGATTTAATAATCAAAATGTAGAGTTGGAAAGGACCCTGAGGATCATCTAGTCTGACCCCCTGCAATGCAAGAATATGCAGCTGTCCCATTCGGGGACTGAACCTGCAACTTTAGCGTTATCAGCACCACGCTCTAACCAACTGAGCCATCCAAAGCCAGACTTAGACCTAGATCTAGGCTCTAAAAAAGACTTAATTGCTTTGTGGCTGTCACGGTCCGGTTTGCAGGTGGTCAAAGTCCTGGTTGAGGATGTCGGGACCGGGGACAAGATGGTGGGGTGAGAGCAGGAACGAGAGTCCAGAAGCCAGGGGTCCAAGGGTCAGGAAGCAGGGAGTCACAAAGTCAAGGGTCCAAGGATCGAGAAGCAAGGAGTCAAGAAGCCAAGGTCTGAGGATCAGGAAGCAAGAAGCCAAACACAACGAGGCAAGAAACATGTTGCTAAGGCAAAGAGCCGAAGGGAAATGCTGACCTTATATCCCTTCCCGGCTCTTGCCACCAGGTGCAGTGAGTTACAAAGCGGCCTCACCTGTGCAGCCGTGCCTTGCCTCTCCAGAACAAACTTAGGAAGGCCCCAGTCCTGCAAAGCCCTACTGGTCACAGGGCCCGGCTCCTGCACACACTCCTGACAGTGGCATCCCAAATGGAGCCCAGCCTTATTAGGAATCTTTCAGTTAATCGGGAGCAGATTCGTAAAGGTTTGATTTATTCTCCCTTTGCTCCCTACAGAGGCATTCCTGTCCGTTGCTGAAAGAAGTGCTGCTCCATCTGTCCACATCCCATCACAAGGAACCTTGTTTGGTACTTCTCAAACAATTCGTGTGGGTTCCAGCTGGAAAAGGATCAGGCAGTTCCTTGGGATTCCCTATGCACGTCCTCCAGTGGCTGAGAACCGGTTCCGTCCTCCACAAGCTTTCATCTGGGAGGAGTCCTGGAACGCTTCCACAACTCGGTGAGAAGGTGTTTGGCACCTTGGCGGCCAACTGTAATCTTGTTCACTTACTGTAAGAGCATGAGAGCTTCCATGTTGGAGCAGATCGAAGTCCCCTTGGTATAGATCAAAGTCCTACTCATTATGCCTCTGTGTACTCACAAGCAGGGTGGTGAATTTGATGGTTGCCCCCTCTTTGAACCAGTATCTCTGGTAGCTCCATGGCTGTCCCTAACATACGGCAGGTGAGATAATGAGTTCTGGGATACTGTTAAAGAACAGCAGATTGTCAATTATAGTACAGTGGTACCTCGGGTTACAGATGCTTCAGGTTACATACGCTTCAGGTTACAGACTCAGCTAACCCAGATATATTACCTCAGGTTAAGAACTATGCTTCAGGATGAGAACAAAAATCGTGCTCCGGCGGTGCGGCGACAGTGGGAGGTCCCATTAGCTAAAGTGGTGCTTCAGGTTAAGAACAGTTTCAGGTTAAGAACAGGCCTCCGGAACGAATTAAGTACTTAACCCGAGGTACTATTATTATCATCCATGAAGGGGCACCATTTGGACTCTTTTGCCTTAGGAAACAACATGGTTTGGGCTTTTTATGGCTAATTCAGTGGCACAACACCAACAAAAATAGTTTTCGATCAGCTTGCACAACCAGATTTTTGCAGGGCTATTCAAACACTTAGTTGTTAACTTGCACCCCTAACTGTTAATTGCACAAGCTGGCAAACAGCAGTAATAAAAATATAATAAAAAGCAATTAAACAGGAATGAAATGCAACCCCCAATCAATAACAGTCTCTCAGTTTCTCATTTTATTTCAAGTCTTAAATTCAGTTTTTCACATTTCTATATCAAATTGTATTTTTTTAAAAAAAAACTTTGTGAGAATTCAGCAGTATTTTAGTAAGAATTTCTGCAGTTTTGCCCCGCATGCACATTTTTGCAAAGCAGTTGCCTTTATTATAATGCATTTTAGATGTGACTTTTACTAATATTTTTAGAATAAACTTTTATGTACACTTCCCCATATTAAATGCATGGTCTAAACCACAGAGCCTAGGCCTTGCCAATCAGAAGGTTGGCAGTTCGAATCCCCGTGATGGGGTGAGCTCCCGTTGCTCGGTCCCTGCTCCTGCCCACCTAGCAGTTCGAAAGCATGTCAAACTGCAAGTAGATAAATAGGTACTGCTCCGGCGGGAAGGTAAAGGGCGTTTCCATGCGCTGCTCTGGTTTCACCAGAAGCAGCTTAGTCATGTTGGCCACATGACCCAGAAGCTGTCTGCGGACAAACGCCGGCTCCCTCGGCCTATAGAGTGAGATGAGTGCCACAACCCCAGAGTCGTCTGCGACTGGACCTAACGGTCAGGGGTACCTTTACCTTTAATAAATGCATAATAAACACATTATTGGGTGTGGAGAACTGCGCTGCAAAATTCAGAGAAGTGTGAATTTCCAAAAGTGGCTGGGTTTCGGTTTGCAAATTGTTTTCTGAATGCATCAGCAACATCTAGAGGGCCACAGGTTCCTCATCCCTGACATAATATGATTTCTGACCCCACGGAGATGCATTTATAAGAAGAAATAACAGTGTAAGTCATACAGGTCTATTTCAGCTTGTGGCTGAAACAATCATATAAATGTCTCCATAGAGCTTGATGTTTCATACTCGTTTATTTAGGGGGTTAGAAAAATGTGGTGATCATCTACACCACATGGTCCCCCCCTCCTCCTGCACAGTGTCGCTGGTGGGTGATAGAACCCAGACCTTTGCTGACCTAATTTCTTGCACACCTGAGTCGCGTGGGTGACTCAACCACATCAGACTTGCTGTTCCCCACCGGAGAGTCAACATCTTGTTTATCCAGGTGTGCAGCAACATACGGTTAAGACACACAGAATATTGCACGGTTTTCTACACCAGCTTTTTCTTTTTTAAAAAAGTGTGCTTCAGAAAATGTTCTGTGCTTATGCTCTGCATGTATTTGATTTCAACTGCAGACATCCTTTGTCAACGGTGATGTGCTCTTAATATGAAACATCTCTGGCAAGGTGAAAGCATGGGTGTTTCTCATGGAAAAATGCATCTAGGGAGCTGTTAACACTCAAGTACAGTGGTACCTCAGGTTAAGTACTTAATTTGTTCCGGAGGTCTGTTCTTAACCTGAAAACTGTTCTTAACCTGAAGCATCACTTTAGCTAATGGGGCCTCCCACTGCTGCAATGCCGCCGGAGCATGATTTCTGTTCTCATCCTGAAGCAAAGTTCTTAACCCGAAGTACTATTTCTGGGTTAGCAGAGTCTGTAACCTGAAGCGTATGTAACCTGAAGCGTATGTAACCCAAGGTACCACTGTAGTGGCACAAATGATTTAATGTTATAGAAATACTCCTTGTACTAAAGTCATAGAATGGTAGAGGTCTTCTCATCCAACCCCCTGCAATGCAGGAACCTCAATTAGATCATCATACATGACAGGTGACCATCCAACCTCTGCTTAGAAATCTCCAAGGATGGAGAATCTACCACCTCTCAAGGGAGTCTGTCCCACTGTTGAACAGCTCTGACAGTCAAAAAGTTCTTCCTGGTATTTAGTCGGAACCTCCTTTCTTGTTACTTGAAACCATTGGCTCGGGTCCTAACCTCCAGAGCAGGTGCTCCATCTTCCATGTGACAGCCCTCTAGGTATAGAAAACAAATGATCAAATCAATCCATCAAAGCAATCAGGTCTTTATTAGAAGCCGTGTGCTTTAAATGTGTGGTTTGTGCCTAAGTCCTAACCTTCAACAGAGAAGAGGTAACAGAGAGAGGGGATGAAAAGATGAGGCAGCGGGAAGATCCATACGGTTTAGTTATATGTGCTTATTGTGAGAAGGGGCAGATTTATAGGGGAACATGACCGATTTACCTGTGCTGAGCATGTGGCTCAGGCAGGGCCGGGTTTAGGTTTGATGAGGCCCTAAGCTACTGAAGGTAATGGGGCCCTCTATATGTCCAGCTGTCCTTTGTCAACAACAAATTGTCGCTGTTCTTGTGTTGAATATATGCTATATGGTAATTTATAGACCTAATAGGTATCTAAAGCCATTTGCACAAATTGCCATGCAACCAGTCCCTGCAGAATGTAAAAAGGTAAAGGTAAAGGTACCCCTCCCCGTACGGGCCAGTCGTGTCCGACTCTAGGGTTGTGCGCCCATCTCACTCTAGAGGCTGGGAGCCAGCGCTGTCCGGAGACACTTCCGGGTCACGTGGCCAGCGTGACGAAGCTGCTCTGGCGAACCTGCACCAGCGCAGCACACGGAAACGCCGTTTACCTTCCCACCATAAAGCGGTACCTATTTATCTACTTGCACTTAGGGGTGCTTTCGAACTGCTAGGTGGGCAGGAGCTGGGACCGAAAGACGGGAGCTCACCCCGCTGCGGGGATTCGAACCGCCGACCGTGCGATCGGCAAGCCCTAGGCGCTGAGGTTTTACCCACAGGCACCCTATATATAGAAATGAGCAAACCAGTGATATTTTAGGGAGCAGGCTAGCAGGCTTACCATTACTTACATCATAGGAGCCTACAGAACACAGAACACTGTTGCTGTATGTAGGTTTTATTTTATTTGTTTTTTATCTTATATTTTGGATATGTGCATCCAGTTTTTTTCCCTTTAATTTTTTCCGGGGGCCTCCAAGAGAGTGGGGCCCTAAGCTATAGCTTGTTTAGCTTATATGTAAATCCGGCACTCGCCTCAGGGGGTGCCACAACAATGACGAACAACGGAGAGCGAGAGGCGGGGTGGTGGAGCCAACTTTTGGCATCTCACAGACATTTTAAAACCCAAAGCCCACCACTGGTAGGGAACCAGGCCATCTGATTCCAGTGTTTCTCATTTAAAAAGCAAGCAAACATGGACACCCATTCGTAATAACACTTCCTTATGTCTCCAGGGCGAGTTGCTGGCAACCAGGGGATGATGGAGCTGCTCTTTCCTCCGTCAGCGAAGACTGCTTGTATTTGAACATTTATGTCCCACCTAATACTGTAAGTACTAAATCAGGGGCACCTCTTTCCAGTGTTCTTCATGTACATGAACTGGAAAGACACCCTTTGATTAGTACTTACAGTATTAGGTGGGACATAAATGTTCAAACACAAGCAGTCTTCGCTGACGGAGGAAAGAGCAGTCATTGTTGTTGCAATCCGCTCTGGAGACAGCAGTC